AGTAATTTTAAAAATGGAACCATGAGCTGTTGGGGTTTATTAACAATCATACAGTTAGCTGCGCATGTTCATCATGCTCCAGTTGGGTGAAATCCATGTCAGTTTCTTGAGATTGTTCTTTTTAAAGTCCTGAAGGGAAATGGTGTAGTCTGAGCACATTCTCGGATGACAGTGAATGACTGAGTGAGAATGGTTCAACGTTATTTTTAGGATTATTGCGCCAGTGTCCAGACGAGGGTAGCCTTTGAACCTTGAATTCTTGTGATGAATCGAATCTAGACGTTTGAAGTGACGGCCCTTCTCAACCAAGCGGCTACCTCTGCTCGGGTGGCGATCGCATGATAGCTGAAGATATAGTTTTAGTCCAGCTATCAGTTGTGGTCGTTGTTATGGTAACCAGAGGGTACTGGTGCTCATATTGTTGACCACTGTAGCAAACCTTATCACCATCAACTACCACGTCGCTATGTAGTTGCTGTTTCGTGGTCAACGCTCGGTCGACAGCATTTATATTGATGACCGAGAAAGCAAGTTACGAAAAAGAAGTCTCATTTTCTATCTTTTGTAATAGTGGATGGACATTTTGATCCAATTGTGTTACCCTCGGGGAACAAGAAACACTATTTAGATATGATCCACATAACAAACATCAGCTATATCGACAATAAAGAAAGATGTGCCACATTGATGTACAATGATTAGTGCCAACGAATCTATTATTCATGACAAAGTCATAGTTTATCGGAAATGTATCTTCCCCATCAAGCCGTGATCTGTCATTTAGTAAATATTCAAACAAAGTTCGAAAACGGCAACGTCAACGCCTCGAATATCTGCCCAAACTGATTCCATAGGGCGTATAAGGCAAAATAATGATGGCACCATGTCCTGCAAATCAACAGCATCCAAAGACTGTATATCTAGAATCACATCACACCTGGTCTAGAAACGAGCATGACATGACACTGCCAGAGGCGTTCTTAAGAACGTCCTCCAGATGTGCCTCTCAGTTCTAGATGGACCTTGTTTCCATACTAAACCGCAGTGTAACCTGTCGTTGATGCGAGCTTATCATTGTATAAATTAAGTCATCACGCGATACTCAAAGGAGGGGACTGTTTGAAGTAACAGAACCTAAATATACTGAGACACTTTGAAAAATGATATTCGATGAATTTGTAATATTTGACACAATGGACACCAAAAAAAATATTAACATGTTCTGTGTATTAAGGAATTAGCACTACAAAATCATTTTGTCACAGAGTTATCGTTAGTTTTCATGCTTGTAAATACAGCTAAATTCGTTCTCTTGTCCTTCGAGTTAAAAAAAATGATTATTCTTTTCAAAGTATTTAAGGTAACGTTACAATGAAATTCACTTTCTTCACACGACATCAGTGTGATAAATGCCAGTTAAGACATGTAAGAAAACTCCTTGCGGGGTGACCGGCGATTGAAATGAGCGTTCGAGGGATACATAAGGTTGGATGAAGTGCCAAAATGTATGGAATTTCTTTTTGGTATCAATCATGATATAACCCCTACTACTTTCAGATAAAGCATACTTTGCCCAAAACCGTAAGACAGGTGTCATGACTGGACATGTATCACACATTGCTCACTAATGTTCTCAGAGAGGTCCACGTGACATCAATGTTAAGTGTTAATCTATCTTTGTTATCTGTCATGGCGAGCGACGGTAAAACCAACATGGACATTATCCATCAGCGGAATATATTTACTCAACAGTTTAGACCATCAGACGGGTCTCATTGCTTCACGACAGCAACCATGCGGGACTCCAGACACGAACCATCAGGTCCGCTCACGGGGGAATCAATATACCACCTACAACTAAACATGTGTGAAGTTTCACTTTTTAAAGGGTTTACATGACTGATGTGTGATCTGATGAAGTTAGGGATGGGGTGAGGAGTTGATAGGATGGGATATATTATTGTATAGTGACTACCATTCAAAGCTTTATCCCTTTCATCGGCTCCTTGAAATCATAAAGGGAGCTTATTATTTGAGTGTGTGTGTCTTACTCATTTTACAATGTATATATTCCCAGAGCGAGAAAAAATGCATGCAAATGACTTTTGATACTGAACAAGATCAGAAAGAAACACAAACGAAAGTATCAATCTAACAATAGTGAGTGAGTGAGTGAGTATGGTTTTACGCCGCTTTTAGCAATATTCCAGCAATATCACGGCGGGGGACACTAGAAATGGGCTTCACACATTGTACCCATGTCGGGAATCGAACCCGGGTCTTCGGCGTGATGAGCGAACGCTTTAACCACTAGGCTACCCGACCGCCCCCAAATCTAATAATAAACATTATCCATATTTAATAAGCTGTATAATGTATTCTGTACTTACGTCCAAAACGACGTCAACAATTAGTTGTTGTGACGTTTTTATACATTAAACCACCACATATGGTTAACTTCAAAAACAAATACACACAAATATTCGTGTGTAGATTACCATGCCAAAAGTGCTTAACGTGCAAGTACAAGAAAGAAACAGGCCATCTGTCAGTCATTTGAACATAATATTATATCATAAGTTTTAAACTAATATTTCAAATTTGTCATTCCCAGAGCGCCAAAAAGAGCCATTACCCTCCATCATTCTTTAGAAACCGTGGCATTCGGCTCGGTGAAATGGAAACCGCATTATCATATAATTTTGATCAATATTTATTGGAACACCTTCACATTAGGTATTTTCTCTCCGCATCCTGCTGGTCAGACAGATTCAGTTGGACGAGATTCACATGATGTGTTTTCAGATTTGAATGACACTCATTCTTCAAACTTTTTAAATCTCTACGTGGTAATAAATTTAAGGATGGCTGTTCATGTAACAGTGGACATAAATCGTAAAGAGGACTGGGTGCAAATAAGTCTGAAATAGTCTTTCTGATAGCCTTGACGAGTGTTGATGTATGTGTCCAATGTCAAAGCATACAACGGGGAAAAATAACTAAAATTACTTGCTTTTTTCAATGCACAGAGCAATCTTTTGTTTCGAATGTGCCAAAGGACGATGGATCGTAAGATCGTGACAAAAGACAATACCATCCCAACAGCATCGAAAAAATGTCGTTCTCACATGCTCAGATTTGATAAAACGAAATTCGAAAAAAGTAATCAACTTTGTTGTAGCCATATTGATATCGTGTGATGGTGTGGACCCCAAAGCAGTTCTGTGGTGTTAGATCAATTAGATCACTGAACGCACGGTGTCTCCCAAAACTTATTCCCAAAACATATGTGGCGTTTCTTATCTGAAAACGCTTACCATATGCCTTGGTTGAGCGTTGTTGATTCCTTTCTTGACTGCGGTGAAAAAACCAATGGTTTGATGCGATAAGGCTTACAATACTAACCAAGCGGAAACATGGAATGTCCTGCATTTTGCAAAAAAAAACGTTCTCAAAAGCCCTTCAACTGTTTGAGTTGGACTTCAATTGCGCGTGCGCTGAAACTATATTTCCGGTATCAATGGTGGTGCCTCATTGATCTCGTAAGAGGTGCATCTCCTTTACAGACTGATTCCACTCTGCTGGACTATCTCTCGCAAAATTGCAATACTCCTGCATTTTTTCAGCAATGATTTAAAAGGAGATTTTGATGTAATTATTTACCTGTTCCACATCACAAACTAGGAAATGTTCACTTGGCTTTCGGAGTTAAATATAGCGCCCTCTGGCGTCAGGGGAGGTAATCAGGCAGATATGTCGTCTATTTGGGCCCAGGAAGCATTGTGGGATGAAGTTGACATTCACAGATCTCAACACGGCATCAAGTTTGGCGTTTCATCTGCATCTTTTAACAACTCCGTGCCTCGGGTGTTGAGCAAGCCATAAGGCGCAGTAATAAAGTAGTAGTCCATAGAGTCTTAGGGCAGAAGCGGCTTGTTTCAATCCAGCTTTTCATGTTTTCATTCACTTCTTTTTATTCTGCGGGCGGACATATCCGATTTAGTGCAGAAGAAAGTTTCAAATGCTGATGTGACCATTTAGGTATTCATTGAAAGCCACCATACATTCTAATGACTACATTACTGATATTCACCTTTTTACTGAGTCCTTCCATCACTGATTGAGCGATGCAGGAATGAGATTTGCTTATACATTGAAATTACCCCATGGTATGTTGGTCCTAACTGAACAGACAGGATGCCATATTCCTCATCCCATGACACCAGTCTGTCTCTCTTTCATCTGATGGGAGGAACCCGGATCGAGTACAAAGGTTCAATATAGCCTAGATTGATAAATTAGAATACTCCCTGTAGTCTCTGCAGGGAGACATTACATCATTTATCTTGAATTGGCAGAGTCTCACAGACGCTTTAAATCTTATGGTAACTATATAGTCCTTGTCAGCTAAAGGATAATTTGAGCATTCGTGCTGAAGTGTCAATAATAAAATGTTAAGATTGGGTTAACCCTTCTCAACTTGGTTAAGTGATAACAGTGTTTGTGTACAACCAAATTACCATGTTACAACTCTCAAATTCACAAAATAAAGATGTGTAAAGAAATCGTGTTACTTCCTCTTCTGCTTTGGTCGAAACACGTGTCTACAGCACCAGTTAAATTGTTAGCATCACACCCATATGTTGCGGTAATCTGTTTGAAAAACAGCTTCAGCGAGTCGTTGTTAAAGGTCATACTCAACACATGGGGCCAACATCAACCGCTCATATGCCGAGCATGTGTGTGTTCTGCATGGTACCTCAATAAATGCCAGTTACCATGGTTCGAAAGCTTATTTACTCATTCAGACCTCCACTCCGATCCAGTCAGATCATCCAACCAATAGGTGCGAATACTATTGCGAACACTATCAATTAAACAAAGCAGCAGTGTTATCCCTTATTGAATCTTTATTAAGATGGGATCACTTTGTTATATTTATATATATTGTCATAACCAACATCGTTATCATAAAACGTTCTTTTGTTCATTTGTTACAGGTTGCATACTCCGATGTTTACGTGTCACTCAATGCCCGGATGTCTACCGAGGGCGCCGCCATGGCCAACGTGATCGGCGAGTACAACATGCCTCAGACTGTAGTGCTGATTCAGGACTCATTTCTCAATGATGGATTCTTGACGGGGTTTGAATCTGCTGGAAAGGGTACAGACATTGGTTCCTTCAAATACGAGGTGATATGGGATAGCATCAAAGATGACCACCTCGAGAGGATGCTCACCGAACTGTCTATCACAGGATGGAAGATCATCGTGCTGCACTGCACGCCGAAACTTATGCAGACCGTCGTGCATGGCGCCATAAAATACCGTTTTTTCGGCACTGGACATGCGTGGTTCATGACTGAAAAAGCCTACACGGACAGTCCAGACATCTTGTCCACCCTCCCAGAGGGACTTCTGTCTTTCCAGAGTTATAGCCTAACTGGGATCTCGGGTGTCCTCCTGAACGCTCTAAAGACTATTGCCCATGCGTGCCTTTGTCAGCTCAGTGAGCTGCGCTCATTTATGGATGCAATCCCTCTTGTGAATAGTTCCGATTACTGTCCAGCTCTAGAACCTCAGCTCGCCACAAATCAACTCTTTATGAGGTGAGATCTATAGTCCATAGACCAAAATATGTACAAACTTACATGCAAGAAGCAACTATAATAATATGCTGCACCGATATTGTGATTCATTGGGGTCTTCCATCAAGGTCCTGCAGCCTCGGAGTTTCATTTCCACCGCGACCGAGTTCATTTTCCCATACCAATCCGAGAAATTGTTTCCTAGCTGCCTTTTATTACACCGTCAGCGCTTTTATGATTTGGCTGTGAAAGTGGTGCCGAATAACTGTTTTATCACAATATGTTTCAGAACACCCAGCACGTCCATAGATTGTTTTTTCATAATTATAAAATATACGTTTATAATATAAAAGAATAAAATCGAAGCAACAACCTCAACATCCTTCGAATGAAGTTGAACTGTCGAATAGACTGCTGTTACATTACACATGGACGTAGTTGTTCCAAGGGCACTGCAGGGGTCCACTTATGCACTCAAACGCGTTATAGATTACACATTTTAATTCAATAATCACACACACGCCATCGATTTTTCAACAAATGCATTCGACTGATACTCCAAACTCGTTCTGCTATTTATTATTTCACATAATAAACCTACATCAACATCACAAGAATGTCAGATAGCTCTAATAGCAGTGTGCATTCATCCTATTGTTTTGTTTGCACGTTCAACGCAATCTATAACATCTCGAGGGAGAACCATATGGGCGCATACATCTATGGAAACTGATAAGTATGTGCAAACAGTTTCGACCAAGTCACATTGGAGTCTTACATGAAATGGAAGAATTGTTTTGATGTGTTTTCATGCAGTGTAGATTTACACATAAACATCGATTGTTTTATGTACTCTGATGACATGTTATTGGAGATAACGTTAAACCATGACTGACATAGATGCGTCCGTTAAACCATCAGCCATCACCTTTGGACAGGTTGGTTTGGTTGGGTTTTTTTTTTTGTTTAACGCCGCACTCAGCAATATTCCATCCAAATGACGGCGGTCTGTAAAATAATCGAGTCTGGACCAGACAATCCAGCGATTGACAACATGAGCATCGATCCACGCAATTGGGATACGATGACATGTATCAACCAAGTCAGCGAGCCTGACCACCCGATCCCGTCAGTCGCCTTTTACGACAAGCATAGTCGCCTTTTACGGCAAGTATGGGTTGCTGAAGACCTATTCTACCCCGGAATCTTCACGGGTCTGGACAGGATGGAGATGAAGGTAAGAGATGTGGTGGAGTGAATGAGTAAGTGAGTGGGTTGGGTTTATCGCCGCTTTAACCATTATTATATTATACCACGGTTTGTTAGCTTACCTTGGAATGAAAGCCTGAAGTGATGCAGGTCTCAGACGTTCACCACTTTGGTGAAACCAACAAGCACAGGTGTGCTTCTGACGAACCTAGAAACATCATCAAGGCGAAAAGCTGAAATAGAATTGAATGAGCTACCGTAATAATTCACATGTTAATGTCATGTTCATTATGCAATGTCACGGATATCGTAATATCTAAAAATCTTTATTATGAAACTTTCATATATACAAACACCGTATTGTTTATGCTGGAGGTTGCTGACGCTGACATTCTATCTGTTTCAGGGCACAGCATAAGAAAGAGACCATTACGCAAGCGCCATTGCAAGTCCTTCCAACAATTTTCTGATTCACGAACCCGCAGAAGATTGAATCAAAATAAAAAACATGAATAAACTTTTTTTAACCAACTGCAACAGCGTTTTTGTTGCTGGCTTTTTAAAACACATTTGATCTCTTTGAAGTGTGCTTAAAAGGAAAGTATGAAAGAAACGCTTCTTTCTTAAAAGCCTAGACCTTAATTCAACATCCAGACGACAGCTAAGCGATGGCTCGTCGGCACGTCAATATCAAATAGTCACCCCTTATGACGTCACCGCTGTTAATATCTATTTAACGGCCCTAATATAAAGATACTTGGGTGTCAACAGAGGTAACTGTGGTGTTCAACAACGACGTGCTAAGCGTAATATTTTATCACGGGAGAGGTTATAGACAGATGCTTTCTGTCTCGTGTCCATTTGATTGAATTTGTTCTATGTATTTGTAATGAATGCATGTCTAAACTAAACATTTAACAAAAATAAAATGGTTTAAACTTCCGTCAATTAGCAGAATGTCAAAACTTAAGGTGCCAAAGCAAATAATCCATATAACAAGAGTTTGAAGCTAGACATGATTGATACCATATGAAAAAGCGTTGCCTGAGTTTAACGATTTGTGCAGATAAAGAATTATGAGCCTTTGAATACTAGAAATGAAAATATAAACAATGTGCTACCGTTGCATACTGTGGACATTAAAATGAAACTTTTGTATGAAATTGGTGCAACCATAATATAGACCTATTGCACAAAATGTGAGTGTGAACGTCATCATATTGTTGAAATGGGTATAATATAGAAATCCGTGTAAGCATAATGTATAGATAACTGTTATATGGGGGTATGGGTATTGCCCAAATATGCCTAATTTCGGTATAGCCACGTTTATAGTGAAAATAAATGGTTTATAAAGTACATACGTATGTGTAATCTTTCATAATCCACTGACACAGATTCCAATGTGGGTTAAAACTTTGATAATCAGACTAACATATGCATGTGCGTGTTGATTGTATATTGAAAAAACCGATTCACCAGTGTGACCAGTAATTATATTAAAGATTTCATGTTATTATTTCTGACTTCCGTGATCCGTATTATTGACATATCATTTTTATGTAACGCCATAATGGCTTTCTCCAATCGCATCGAAGGTAAATGTTACTTTGCTACGTACATTTTCACATTCACAGACTAGTATATTGTTTCAATATTGCAGACCATCAAACGTTGATACCGATTCCAAACATTAAGGAAACATTCTTTACATACAAACAAAATACAGTAGACTGTTACTATGATAAAGTGAAACAATATTTAACTATCTATGCAACTGATGTACATAATTCCACATACTACAGATACGACCGACACAAAACGCTTTGTCCGAGCTATCTGGTGTCTCTTAGACACCTCACTTTATCTCGAAACTTATTTTCACCTTTTCACTTACATCATTATGGAATTTAACTTTATGTTTGTTTTCTGTTTTCAGAAATCTGGCGTCACCGTACAACTGTGAAAATGCTAGCAGCTCTCAAGTGAGGTCGCCAACTGACGTTCCCAGTCGCGATGACGTCGCCTTCCATCTGTACAACCTACGGGAGAACCCTAAAACAGGGATAGTCTGGAGCAGCGTAGGTTATATAACTGCCAGTGGCGTCACAGATCTCAAGACCGTTCTCTGGCCGGGAAGAACTATCTATGGTCCGGCTTCCCACACCGACAAAACATACAGGGTGGTCACCCGACCCGCGAAACCTTTTGTGTTCATTGAAGGTCCAGTCGACCACCCATCAGAGTGTTTTGCGGATCAGCCTTGTATTGAAATATTTGATAATTCCCCTAGTGCAATAGCTTCTGTGATAGAGACCTTCTTAACCACCAAGGGATACAACCGGACTAATTATCGTGTTCATTGCTGCAAAGGCCTGGCATTGGAGTTACTGGACAAGCTTGCAGTGGATCTCAATTTTGATTACGTGATCTATTTTCTGAATGACACCGATTATGGAACATATAAGAATGGTCAGTGGTCGGGCATGGTGTCTGATATAGTGAATGGTGCTGCCGACCTCGTGGTCGGAGCATTTAGTGTAACATCAGAGCGTCTTTCTGCCATGTCCTTCACTGAACCCTACTTCCAGAATGACTTCGCAATGGTGACGAGTGCTAATGGTCGGTCCACGTCCATATGGGCATTCCTCAGCCCCTTTTCACCAGAGGTGTGGATCTGTATACTTGTGAGTTCAGTGGTAGCAGGGATAGCTACATCAACGTTAGAGTGGTATAGCCCCTTTGGTCTCAACCCAAGGGGTAGGAGGAGGGACAAGAACTACACCTTGGGGTCGGGGCTGTTGATGGTGTGGGTGCTGGTAACTGGTCACACAATCAATGTTAAGGCGCCTAAGAGTTGGCCAGGGAAGGTGATACAGAATGTGTGGGCAGGCCTGGCTATCTTCATGATGACCAGTTACACTGCTAATTTGGCCGCCTATCTTGCTGGTCAGTCTGCTGTTGTCATGATCCGGAGTATATTTGACTCCAAGGTAAGAAAAACGATACGTAACACCTCATTAAACATCGTGGTGGATAATTTGTAAAATTGTAGTCACTACACATTCAAACACATTGTCCATGCAACTACAGCTACAAATTAATGATCATGCATATGTTGTACTCGTATATCACCTACTTGACTTGACTTCGCAGCCAGCACTATTGGTTATATTACCACGACCTGTTCGACGCCGTCGGGGTACAATGACATGTGTATGACATCCACCAAGTCATCGGACCACCCCATCCATGGCCATTTACTAACCTCGTGGACAATCATAGCTTACCAGAGACCAATTTTACTTTTGAGGGGGCACGGGTGGCCCAGTCTTCTAAGGCGCCGCGATTCGCTGTGCAGAGTTGCGTCCCTTGGGCACGCCAGAAACCTATGATCTTGGGTTCGAATCCCGGTTCGCCCCGATTATGTTTCTAGGTTTGTCAGCACCATACCCGTGCTCGTGGGTTTCACCGAAGTGATAAACGTCTGAGACCTGCATCACTTCGGGCTTTCCTCCCACATTAAGCTGACACGCCGCGATATAACTGGAATACTGTTAAAAGAGGCATTAAAACCAACTCACTCACTCTACTTTTGAATCCCCATGGGCCCTTGACTTAAACAGATATTCCACTATCGCATGACATTATACCATGTCGACAATCTATTGAGATGACCAAATACTGCTGTAAAATAACCTTCGTTTGGCATGAACGAATGTATCAACTTGGAATCACGACGTCCTGTCAGAACACGTTCTGCACACTGCATGTTGACACAATCTCAGAACAACAGACATCGAGATGATAGAAATGATCGCTATCCACGATGCCTCGACTATCCGTAGTTTCCTAAATAGCGATGACGTTTGACTTTTCGTCTTTCATCTGTGATAATACAAGGCGTCTATACCACAAACCCTGCAATAATTGCGCCATGATTAACACGTACCTTATTCTAATCTTAAGAGCCCTTGGGCTATTCATGATTCAAAGAGAGAGATAAACAATTTGATTGCAAAGATTGGACACGGGTCAGGGGTGGGCAATAGATTCTGATTGGATATTGACAAGTATTTACCCACTACAGCTGGAAATCGCGAATTTGTGTGTGAAGAAAGATTAGTTAAAATGGCAGCCATTAACTCCAGTGTTGCCTCTGCTTAAATTACGTGTACGAAGTGATGTTGAATTGGTTAATTCCGCGCACCAGAATCTAGTCTTACTCCCAGAGATAAATGGTCTCTAGGTGCCATAAGCATTAACTCCTAATTCGGTCTCAATGGGCAACACAATGCCCAGTTTTGATTAGTCCCCAAACATGGTACTAGTGAATGTATTGACTGTAGTACTCCTATTCAATGTACGGACTCGGGTATTTTTACAGCCATGCTGGAAAATAAACCCTTGCTTTCTTTGGGAATTTGGACATTATTGACCTAGACCTAACAGAGATATTCAGGCTTCATGAAAGCTTAAGACGATGCTGTTTTATCTCTTTCACACTTCGGGACGTAGTGTGCATATGAATAACAATCTTAGAATAAACATAGCTCCGTGTACAAGATGCTGACTAGACAGGTGCATACTTTTCGAACTCTCTCGCGTGTTTGTTCGATATCTTGAGTGCGTTGTGGTCCCAGCTGGATCATGTCTGGCCCTTGTGATATTCATAGGGTTTCATCCTATGTAATAGTGACCTTTTCCTTATCTTGCCCCTGACAAATGAGAAAGGAGGGCCACATTGCTAAAAATATTTTAAACATTTTACATTTGAATGTTAATTTGCTACTTCTCGAAAAGTCATTGTTACAATGTTACCTCAACGTTACAGCCATTACGCATGTCCAAGAAGCCAGGGATGTGTGAGGGAGCTCTTTTAACAATATTCCAATCAAATGGGAGCGGGTGTGAATTGGCTTCAGATATTGTAGGTTGGGTATATGACCCTGGTCTTCCGTGTGACGGGCCAAGGCGTTGATTACAAGGCTACGCTATCACCCCTAGTGTAACCAGAATTAAAAGACCGCCTACCCCCTCCTTCACTTGTAGACGTGAGTCTATGGGGTTTAAGGGGCCGAAATAACATTTAACAAACTCAATCAATGCCTTGTGGTTTTGTAGGATTATGTCAACGAATATCTCAATACTTTACTCAATCGAATGCGAAGACGAAATATTTGACAAACCAACGTCATATTTACCATAGCTAATACGGTCCAAATATTTGCCAGATACCGAGATGCAAATCAAGCAGCTCAAGCTATTTGTTTTTTACATAACTCCATTGCACTTGGGATACACTTTTTACAATGGGCGGTCGAATGAAACTCGTCAGAATCTCCGTTCCCTTATGTAAATAGTTGTCAAGCACAGAGGCAGTGTTACAAAAGCCAGAGTTGTGGCTTAAACTCATCTACACATGAGTTCAGAAGGAGTGCTAATCAGATGGAGCAGAAGGGATGACTACAGGGAAAACGGACTTGGCAAATGGCATGCGGGAAAAGGAGGGGTACATCGGAAGCTGCGTTGCTAGGTGTTGGTCAGAAGAGGACGTGTGGGTGGAAAGAAGCACTAGCGGAGAGCATGGGCACGTGATGGGAGGCAGAGTGGCGGTTTTAAAAAAATTATGAAATGGATTCTCATCGGAGGGCGAGGGTTAACGTGGGACTGGTATTTATTTGCAAGGATGAGAAAGCTGGAAGGATCTTTGTGGAAGAGTGTAGGAGAGGCGGGAGAAGGGTAGGATTGGACAAGGCAGGTAGGGAGAGGATGTGAGTCTCGGGGACGGGAATAGAAGACGTTAAAATAAAAGACGATTTGCAGAAAAGGGAGTAGCGTAGGTTAATATGGGTCTACCAAGAAGGGGATGATAGAAAGGATCTCCATTTAGGCATGTGGGGAAAACTGGAAGGGACATTCTTAAGGAGGTCTACGGGGGGTGCTAAGAAGGGCGAATGGCCGGATCGGGTGCAAGGGGAATGTAGAGTAGGGTTGATTGGAATGACGGGGCGAAGGATACAGAAAAGAAGGGAGAAGAGGTCCAAGTACTGAGTCAAAAGTCGATATGTGTAAGGAGATTCGTGCATATAGACCTATCCCATCCATAACACTTCAGCAGTGATGAATGGTTGCTCTTTGATCCTAAATACCCAGTCAGTGTCAATAGTTTGTGATGCCATGTTTGATTGTGGTTGATGTTTATAGCGCCAGTGATATGAAGGGAAGCTTGAAGCCTTTAAGTGATCGCATTAGAGCTAAGTTAGAAATGTCCATTAGTAATTACTCCCAGTAAACTGAAATATGTTCAACAGAGATTGTATCAACAATTGGACTTCTGATAAGCATGATTTAAGTGTCAATAAAACGTCAAGTGGGGTTTAGTCTGTCTCTGGGGACCATCAATATATGGTTATTGCGTCCTTTTTTACATATTTCTAAAACAACTAGGCATTACGTATGCAAATTAAAGCAAAAATACGATCGTGTGAATAATATGTATGAGCAAGTTGTGGTTCGCTAAATGGGGGGTGTATTATGGCTTTTCGCGGAACAGGCTATAGCGTTTTCTGAATTTCTAACAGTAATTAGGGGAAGGCTTTATTGACTTGGCTTTGCGCGTGTTTATGATTGGTTCCCCCGTGGAACAGGATACGTTCACCTTTTCGCGATCAGCTGGTATCGTCACTCTTTGATAGTGATTAATAAGCATATGCTCATGATACAGTCGGAATCGTACAAAAAAACTCTGCTTTGAGAAGAGATTTCCTGTGATTATGGAAATGGTTTTCGTCGCTTGTACTTACGAAATGACTAAACAGTGAGAACTGACCTTCACTTTGTGTGAGTTCATTGGAGTGTGAACCTTCATAGAGAGAGGGCCAAACTGTATGAACGGCGTAGCATACTCAAATGAAGTCACACAAAGTGAAAGTCAATTCTTACATTTTTTTATCATCATTATTTTATAACTCGAGGGATGTAGCGCTAGACTTCATGTTTCATGTTTTCACTGACAGCCACACAACAACCAGATGTATCGCGGAATAAAAGAGTTCGCCGAAAAGAGCGGTGATATGAACGTATTCATGCTCAACTTGCTTTACAGGAATATCTGTTGTAGGTTGTTCACAAGAAACGTATTCAAACACATCATCATTTGGTGAGAAAGGTGTATTAAGAACTACCTCAGTAAGTCAGTCACAATGGCAACGCGTCGTAATACATTTACATCAAATACAAGACGTCAAAATGGCCGACACGTTAAACGTAAGGGGATAGATTTCCGAAGTTGTTAATGAACTTGTAGCAGTTACATGTGTTCGTCATCATTGATCAGTTGGCCGATCATTGAAAGGAGATTATGAAGATGTGTCAAATAGATACTAAGGTAAATTCATAGATTGCTGGAGACTGTAATTGTCAGTCAAGACACGGATTGAGTGGATACTACGTTAGTGGGTGTGCATTTCTACGTTTTGTTCACGGGGATGGGTCGGAGCGAGGATATCTGTTAACGATCATGAACTCAAACTCTCTGACGTTACTCAATGTATGGAAAAATGCGAAGTTCAAGATTAAAGGGTCTAAATGATCAGAAACAGCGCTTTTGTATGTATTCGTGCAAAGGAATTCCTAGGGATTCCCGAGAAATGTAGAAGTAGTCCTTCAGTGTTTACGTCATTTCAAGAATACAGTCTCGTGAAAAACATAATTATGAACATCAAATTGTGTCGTTCGTACGCTTATGTACGCGTACGTCACCTTTACGGTCATGCGTATGTATCCGTATATCGTGTAAACTTCAAATGAAAAAACAATATTTGGTATTACATCGCTTTGAAAAGTATTTCAGTTACATCAAGCTTGATATGGAAGTAAAACCGAGAGAGACACAAGTCATGGACGGTTATCATTTTGGATAAACCAACAAATAGGGACATGGTGTTTACAGACCAAGGATCGGGACCAAATCATGATTCTAAGAGCTAAAGTTCGCAACTCTGTAACACATGTTTGATCGAGGTTACAACATCCAAGGCCTCAGTTAAACTTTCAAGAGGTGTTATGGTAGACATGTGGAGGCCATTTCTACATTTGACGCATCAGTGACAAAAATTATGGCCGATGCAATTCCCTATTTTTGACTTGTACCATATTATATTCAGGTTAACAACTGACTTGCCTTTGTATGTGTTTGTGACCGGTGCTACCGGTAGGGCAGGATACGCTCACCTTTTCGCGAAAACCCGGTATCATTACTATTCCATAGTGACTCATAAACACATGTTTATGGCATAGTCGGACTCTGCTTTATGGAGAGATATCTATTGGATATGGAAAGGGTTTGTCGCTTTCTTCACACCTCAGGCAAGTAGTCAACCCAGCGCAATTCCTTGTAAAATGGTTTGCAATGATACGGCCTTCAAAGGAGAGGGCATACGTTCATATGGTGCATCAATGATGACTCTACCTTACTCCACTCACCCATTTTTAGAAATATTGAACATGCTAATTTGAATAAATATCCCGTCCTCCACATATTCACGTCAATACAATGATATTGTACACAGTAATACATACACAGACATAGAGCTTAACCGAACCAACGATCACTGACAGAATTCCATCCAAGTGCTTATTGTATGGTTTAATGATAACACCGGCCGGTAAAAGTGCTTGTTTATGGAAACGAAAGCGCTCGGGTAGTCTAGTGGCTTAAGTGTTAACTCGCCACGACAAAGATCGGGATTCGAATCTCCATAGGAATCAACATGTCCATGTCTTTTTATAAGTGTCCGATACCGACTGGAATATTGCCAAGAACGGCGTAAAACCAAAATTCACTCATCACTATATACGCGAATACCCATTTCAAAGTAACGTGTTATTAAGTCCTTGTAGCTAGCTACCTTTACATAGATGTCAGTTGGTAGCCAAGGGTATATATTACAGTTCCGTTGTTATTGGTGAACGAGTGAAAGGGGCATTTGCGTGCTTCTGTTCTTTAACGTTGCACTCAGTAATATTCCAGTTACTGAAATAAATCGAGTAATGTAAATAATCGAGTCTTGACCACACAATCCAGTGATCGTTATTATCAGCTGTTATCCACCCCGTCGGCGTACAACGACACGCAATAAACTATGTCACCTAGCCTGGTCACCTGTTTCCTGTATTATGTAGCAATACGCCTCAGCATGTAAACATAGTACCGACTATGCTTCTGTAGTGTATGTCCATTTTGTGAAACTAAAAGAAAAATAATGTTTAATAGAATAACTGAAATTTGTAAATATAAATTGTCAAAGCAAGAGTGAGTATGGTTTTACGCCGCTTTTAGCAATATTCCAGCACTATCACGGCGGGGGACACCAGAAATGGGCTTCACACATATATTGTATCCATGTCGGGAATCGAACCCGGGTCTTCGGCGTGACGAGCGAACGCTTTAACCACTAGGCTACCCGACCGCTCCCTCAAAGCAAGAGAATAACCATCCTAGATTGTCTGCCGAAACAGAATCCACTTGGCGTATAAACAAGGCCTTGATGTGCCAATATATTTGATTGGGAGCTCCCACTTCAGCTTCAAAGAAAACGTACACTTGTTTCACATATACCAACCACACTAAATATGTATGTAAATGTAAAACATATCTCAAATGTATCATTATATACAGCCGGGCAAGAAACTATACACCCACGTATGATGGTGACTTAAAATGAAACGGTTATTCGAGGGTGATGTGTTTAATTTATATACGGGTATCAAAGGCGATATTACATGCAGTGTCATCAGGTGGATACTCTCTATACTGTGTAAGCATAGAGAGTTTATGCTTTAACATACATACATACATACATACATACATACATACATACATACATACATACATACATACATACATACATACATACATATTAATCCTAAGGTAGGATTAATGTACAAAGATAACGATATAATGACGAAGCCAAAGAGATTGACAGGAGAGAAGCCAAGTAGGTTCAATGAAGGTGTAGTTATTTTGATGGATGTAATAGCAAGGAGCTGATTACGTTAACACTAACATGGAGGCAATCAAGATGTGATTAAAGCACAGTGTAGTACACACTGGGTATGTAGACGCATTTGTGTCTGTTAGTGCCTGGCTTCTGTCATTGGGTTTCAATAATTTCTTGAAGTTTCCTTTTTTTCCAGTGACTGATGTTGGTATGGAGAATCTGTGTTGCCAGGTAGTATGGTGGTCCGGATTTTTGATGAGATGAGGTGACGGCTTATAAAGTTGTGAAAACACTTGTTCAGCCTTTTTCCTTGTGAATATGTTTTAATAACGTGTACTTTCTGTGTAGTTGCTGTCGAAGAAAGTGTCGTTGATCAAGTCGAGTGCCGTTGAAGCCTTCCTGAGTCGGATCAACCCTGATCTGTATGACCATGTGAAGACGCACTACACTCAGTCAGCAGAAGAGGCCATTCTCAAACTCAGGTACTGTCTCTACGTCGTGCTGTCTTGTGTCACGAGATGCGGAAACGAACGGCCTAGTTGATATTGTAAAAGAATATGTTTCGCTGCGTCAGACATGTTAAGGTGTCAGGTGGATATGTCTTGAAGATATACCACTTGATCAATCATATATGTGTGTTCAGTAGATCTTCCTGATAATTACAGTGGATATCTCTCGTAGATTTGTCACTGGAAATGTCTTGTAGATGTTTCAAGTGTCTATGTCTTGTAGACGAGTCAAATGGATATGTCTTGGAGGTGTGTCAAGTGGTTATGTCTTGTAGATGTGCCACATGGATATGTCTTGAAGAGGTGTGAAATGTATGTCTTGTAGATATGTCAAATGGATATGTCTTGTAGATGTGTCAAATGGATATGTCTTGTAGATGTGTCAATGTATGTCTTAGAGATGTGTCAAATGTATCTCTTGTAGATGTGTCAAATGCATATCTTGTAGATATGTCAAATGGATATGTCTTGGAGGTATGTCAAATGGATATGTCTTGGATGTGTGTCAAGTGGCCATGTCTTGTAGATGTGTCAAATGGATATGTCTTGTAGATGTGTCAAAGGTATGTCTTAGAGATGTGTCAAATGTATGTCTTGTAGATGTGTCAAATGGATATGAGTGCAACTGACATATCCTGAAGACGTGTCAAATTAATGTGCATATGGTGTCTTCTTCGTTGACGACTTGAATCCATATCGCGTCTGTATGGTATGGATACCGGGACTGTCCACCTAGGCCACGTTACAATGGCTATTCCTGTGTGTAATCAAAAAACCCCAAGGCTTATTTTCTTATCGTGGATCGGTAGCCTGGCATCGACGTACATAACCGGCGGTATGAAAATGACCCATGATATCATCTAAATAGGTTTATTGAAATCAGCTCATTCCGAGTGAGAACCCCACAGATATATATATCTAATGGGATACTGGGAATAAACCATACACGCTTATAGAATGATGGCGTAATCCCGGTAGTATTTCATTCATCCTCAAAAACTGTCCTGGACCCCCTTCGGTTGACATAGTATAATACTTCTGTTTGCCCCTGCGTACATCAGTGCCATCGCGCCAGGATGGAGGTTCCAGTTACCTAGTTGATGGGACTGCTTGGCGGGGAAGGTCAAACATGTCTGTGATATGATCCTGGAATGAAATGATAAAACATCTTTACATTGACGTAACGGGGACAGTGAGAGCTATGTTCATGATAAGACCCTCCGCAAACATTGATCTATGCCAAACATTAAAGTTATTCCATTTCTACCACGAAGTTCCCACAGGGACATGGGTGATTTATGTCGACAAGAAATGCTACGTTTAACAGTATATTGGGTACAGACGCATTAACGGCTAATTGCAGTACTGGGTTTCCAGTTGCCCATCCGACTATATTCAATTGAAATTATTATATACGTTGTCGTCGTACTAAACTGGTTTATGTTTTTTGGCTGATCCTACTGTGTGGACGTAGTGAAATAGAAGAAATGTAACGAGGGGCAATTTTGAGATAATATGTAACGATTGACGTTGCCAGTTTATATTCATCATTTGGCGTCTTGACGATTTATCTTGAGACCAAATAGAATAAGTCGATCGGTTGCTATTCTTTAAGTGTGCATAAAACCAACAGTCACAAACGACGTAATTATATATTCGAAGACATCTGTATTTTCGTAATTATATATTCGTAGAAAATAGTGGCGGGTTTTACCCACAGGAAAGGACATGCTTACACCTGTGTTGTCATCAGTCATCCTTTCAAAATACCAGCTATATGACAGCAGTCTGTAAATAATCGAGTCTGGACCAGACAATCCATCGATTGACATCGTGAGCATCGATCCACGCAATTGGGATACGATGACATGCACCAAGTCAGCGAGCCTGACCACCCGATCCCGTTAGTCGCCTCTTATGACAAGCATAGTCGCTTTTTACGGCAAGCATGGGTTGCTGAAGACCTATTCTACCCCAGATCTTCATGGGTATATTCCGGCAGATAATCGAGACTGATTATTCTCTGGCAGTGACGTTTTATATATATTTGACAAGGTCAGCAGGTATCACAGTATGTCATCATTCATCACTGCGTATTCCAATAGACCCCAAAGGCCCTAACCCAAGCATACAGCCTTTACTTAACATCTAACCTCTAAGTTTCAGACTTAGGTATAAATTTCACAGATCAAGAAACCATAGTATTATTATGATATGACCGTTAATTGCTGAAACAAAGTTGCTGAAGTTTCGGATGGTCACACCGAGAACCTGGGTTCAGTTGCATGAAAGTAACTCGTAATTCATTGTGCAGAGTTAGGTCCCTTAGGAGTGCCAGAAGCCTATTATTGTTGGTTCGAATCCAGGTTCACCCTGATTATTATGTTTTTTCCAACACCATACCCTTGGTCATGGGTTTCACCAAACTGGGAAACGTCAAAGACATGCATCACTCCTACATCAAGTTGACACACCATTATATGACGGAAATACTGTTTAAAGCGGCATTAAACCCATGTCACCGACTCCCGCAGTAACATTGCTGCAGTATTGCTAAAGGTGGTGTAAAACACACTCACAATGACACAGAATTGTTCGTTCAGCAAATAGTTTCATCGAGACAGATTCAACTAAAAACGCGCTTGCTACATTTGCCACATGTGACACTATGTGCATCCAGGCAGTGCCTCGTCTCTGCCCAATGTGCATTGAGACGGCGTTGTCAACGGAAACCTCTTCTAATGGAAACACGGATAGCATGTCGTCATGGTGACGTAATATCCCGAACATAATCGCTTGTAGAGGTGATAGTGAGCTGAAAGCTAGTTATCACCCTGTCCCCCCGTAATGACACATTGATGCGCCCCTAAACAGTTGTTTGGACAATAATCTCATTTGATGACCTAATCGGGTAAAACGGGAGAATTACCTGCCAGTCACGACAAGCGGAAATAGAAACAAATGGCATGAAAGTGAAATATGTGAGCGATAGCTGCAACTTCAATACTTTTATTCCCGATTGCTTGTCGTGTCGGGGTCGGCTGAATCCTAAATAAAAGTGACAGAACCCTTTCTACAGTCAACAGAAACCTCTACCAAAAGCGGAGCCGATTGTACGATCCCTACAAAATCATAAGCAAATATAGTATAAGGGACTGGTCACTTATTCTAGGGGCGTTGACGGCGGGGGATTGGTATAAGGCCTTTCGTGTTTTGCTCCCCCACCCCCTCCCCCACCCCCACCCCCAACTCCAATACATGTAACATTTTTTCATGATTACTGCCCCCAACCCCTACCCCCATATTATATCACCAGTCACAAAATGGTAACATGTATACGTTTTTTATTTGAAACACTACAGTCGTGTCATTGTTTCATGCCCCCCCCCCCCCCCCCCCCACACACACACACCCAATATAGTCATGACAAGTTTTTTGCGGCACCCCCGTCCACCTCTTGCTCTGGTCAACCCCTAACCCCTATAATAAATGACCAATTCCAAATCCTCTGGTGTGTTGACTTCAAACGTCTGAAAGTCCTGGTAAGTACACAATCTTCAGTGATGCTATATTCACGCGAATGATGCATGTATAGTATTTAGGAGTATGTATAGTATATAACTTTGGAATTGTACGAGCAGTTATGTATTGGTATTAAAGTTATATGTTCCTTCGAATGGCATATCTGTTTCTTAAAGATGGAGTACGGTCCCTGGACGCAGCTACCAGTTCACAATGAGCAATGGCCTATATGTAATTAGAGAAATTTATAGCTTCATCGATCAGATCATATCACTTGGGTGGGTGAACCTCTTTGATCTGAACATTCTTGGGTTGCCAGTTGGCCGCGGCTTAGTCACTCGTTTAGTTCTGAATGAAGAACATCTAAGTCAATTTTAGTAATTACCTATTTATAACCCCAGCTGGGTTCTGCGGCTACGTAATCCCCACCCATTCAGTAACACACAAGTTCGTCCTTCTCTTTCCCTGTCAAACTACCACGAACTCCTTTAACAACAAGCCATCAACCTTCGCCTTCATGTTAAACGGGGACCATAAATATCCCCCTAATCATGAATGGCGGTCCCTCCGCCATCATGCAACTCCTTAAGTAGGAGCCAAATGTCACTAATACTTGGTTGAAAGGTCCATTATCGATATAATATCTAGACAATCTTATTTGACATCAGTTCTGATAATTTGCTTCTGATCATGTCCGACCAGAAACTGCCACCAGTTTCAGACCACAGCCTTGCGTCCATTTCGTCAAGACTATAAACGTTTCCTAATAAACCGTCCCCGACTGGAAGGAAAACATCATAAAATTACTTCCGGTTCCCGATGGTCTGTGGTAGGCATTGTCCATTAAAGAAACCAACTTGCGGATGGTAAGAACTGTTCGATGTTGATCCGATATTTGATCCAACAGCCGCGAATAACTTAATGGTACCTAAAGTATTGCTTCACGGATTGGCACTCCCAAAGGTATGTGAATGATGTGCTTCTATCGTTGCCAATATAATCCAGTCGCTTACCTCGTAATAAAGTTATATTGTCTACAGGTCAGCTACAGTCGCGGTTTATACTTGTTTTGTTTGCTACTAATGCCAGCAATAGATTTTAAATGTGTCTGCAGAAAAGAGAAAAAACGTATAAACGTCCGTTCGATCGAGACTGTTTTTCTTCTGAAAGAGTTCCACAAATGTAGGACGTTTCCTTTTGATGAAGTTGGTATTCAGCTCCGATTGGTCATAGAGTCAGACCACTTCCATGTGGGGTTCCTGTATTGGCGCCAATTTGATGCGGGCTGGGCTCTCGATGTCTGTCAATGTGATTATTCGTTATGCTAATTATGTGTCTGCGCTGTGTCTGGTTAAGCGTTCCGCCGATTTGATTCTGACTAAGTTAGCTCCGAACGCCTGCTGTTGTGTACATTCCTCGCTACCATTCTACCAATATAATCAACGTGGATT